TCTCTCTTTCTCTCTCACTCTCTATCTCTCTCTCTCGGCGGCTCAAACTTCTCGCTCGTGTTTCTCGACGCGTAAAATCTTTGGAGAGCCCCCTCCCTAACCTCCCTCCCCTTCCTCCTCCCCCTTTTCCCCCTGCGTGCGTAATTAGTTGGAGAGCGTTTGGAAACTTGTGATGTCCGTGAAGAAATCTCACTTTATTTCTGACACCTGTTGCTGAGGACACCGCGCACACAGCCGTACACAACGAGGAGCGTGTGCCACCGTTTTTCAGACTTTATTTCCACATCTTTACATAACAAGTTGGGACTTTTGTGGTGGGGGGGTACTGACAGGTCTGCGGATCGCCGGAGACTGCGTTATATTCCTATAAAATCGGACAAGGACTTTGGTGAGGTTTTTTCCTCCGTGAAGGTGATCGAGCAGTGAGAGGAAGTGTCCAAAAAAGTGACACTTTTTGGAATCAACAAAGAATTTTGTATCTGTTATCACACAGTGAGCGCTCTGCAGCAGGGTCCTGTAGGATCATTCAGAAGGGGTTTCCCTTTCAATAATAAAAAAAAACCAAACACCGATCCGTCTATCGTTTTCCAGCCGGACTCAGAGTCACACTTTTCGGACTTGAGCGCTTCGGATGGTGGGAAGAGAAACTTTTCTTGGAGAGCTGAGCAGCAGCTGGATTCGCGCACAGCAGAGCAGGTAAGAACTACATATATATATATATATTTTTTTTTTTGTTAATTTTTAAAAAGACACGTTTTTAAAGGGATTCCACAAGGTACAATACACAGTCAAATGCAACATAAATATAAAAAGGTTAAATACTTGCGTAATGGGGGTTTTAGAGGTGTAATTAAGTACCTAGCAGTGATTTACACATTTATTCCAACCTTATAAGAGTTTATGTGTTTGTACTATTTTCTGTAACAGTTGTATTAAGTTAAATACATATATTTGAACTTGAACACTCACTCACTTTGCACGCTCTGAACGGGACATACATACTACTGAACACACATCTGAACTCAAAGTTGGTTTAAACTTGGTCCACTGGCTTTTTGGACTTTGCTCCATTTGAACTTGTAGACGTTTTGTCCCCACAATGTTTCCGTTGTCACAGTCTACTTACAGAATGAGCTTATTTCATGACTTTGGCTCCCATATGACAGTGGTGAAATGCAATGTGTGTGTGCGTGTGTGTGTGTGTGAGTGAGTGATCTGCCAACCCCATCGGCCTAAATGAAGGCAGCCCTCTCGCTTTGCGGTGGAGACCAGGACTATTTTGGTCGAAATGTTGCACAAATGTTTCTCTCAGTATAGAGAAGTTGCTCTGCCTTAATCTGGGCCAGAGGCTGTACGGCATCCAAACTGCACACTGACACAGGTCTGACAGTAACTCCGGACTCAAGTTCATTATAAACACAAAATTGTCTTGGTGACAGTGGAGGAGGAGGATAATAACAGATGGTAGGTGCTTTATATATTACTTTATTGGCCTGCATAAGCATTCAATTATATGTGACTTGTGGGTGTTCAGTAGGTGGCAGCTGCAGATCAGGGGTCAGCTGTGCAATCAAACAATATACCAATAGTGTTAGGGTTAAGTGTGGACATTATGTTGTAAGTGGTATTATTTAGTTAGTTAGTTTTTTTTTGTGTTTTTTTAATGTCCTGTAAATTCCATCATGAAACTGCATTCAAGTGTATTTAAAGTAGCAGGTAATATACAAGCTTTGTACGTGTAATACTATGCATGTATGTGCTGTATTTGTTCGACTTCGTGTTTGTTTGTGTGTGTGTTTTCTCGTGTGACCTCTGACCCCCGTTCATTTCAAACTCTTTTACGATCCCATGAAGTAATTAAGTAAAAGAAATTGTGTCTGAGCTAAGCTTTTTTGTTTTTGTTCGAGAGCTCAGACCTCAGCTGAATCTAGAAAGAAGTCAGTTTGTTCTACACGCATTTAGCCCAAATACAGGGATTACTTAAAATCTGTTCAGTGTCGTCATAAAAACCACAAAACTTTGGTCAGTTTTTAAAATGTATCCTTCATTTAATCTAGCAAAATAATTGTGATTGGCATGTCTTTATCAGTAGATCCAAAAACATTCATAAATAGGAAATTCAGCCTAATTTCAGCAGGAAAAGATAATAACAGACGCATGCACAATTTAAAAAGATAATAAACGTAACTTTTTTTATAAACACAAAAAACCCCATTTGCATCTTTATTACATACTTCATAAAAACACATTTAAGGGCAGAAATACCAAAAACAAGTGAGCTTCACGTGATAGCCGGCTATCGGATTCAACCCAGAATGTGACGGATGCAGAGGAGCTGACAGAAACCCTGGGTCGTCTCTGCCGGTGACGTCTCCGGTTCGCTTTTGCACATTTCCTGATTTTAAAGTCTGAAACCCACCTGAGCTGTGGAGCGGACTGACAGTCGGGGCTGATAAACCCTGCCAGAGTATGTGTGTGTGTGTGTGTGGATGGTAGATAGTAATGTTAGATGTGTAGATAGAGGTGGTGAAAAGTGTTGCTGTCAACAAGTTAGCCATTAGAGAGAGATAATCTCTCTTCCTCCTCCCTCCCTGTCTACCAAGTCAACTTCTGTTCTTTCTCTTTCCCTCCCTCTCGCTGTTTGAGTCATGACATTATTTTTCTCTCTGTGCCATTTGAGCTTTTCTCCTTTCTTTTCCACCTTTTGTTAACCGTTAACCTTGTCTTGTGGATTTGAGGTTCTAGGTGTCAAAATTTTAGTTTTTGTTGACGTATGAAACTGCCATTTCATTGTTGTTGTATGAAAGCCTTTTTTTCTCTTTAGCTGAAAGATTAAATGGATTTGAAGCTCGTATTGCTCTTTAAAATCTTATTAGATAAACTCCTGAATGCCTGTTTCTTGTGGCTGCATATTGCAAACTTGTTAAAAATGTAGAAATAGATGGTTAATTAATATGTCTAGAATCATCAAGTCTATATTCAGAACATTTTCTCACAGTTTTTCTTCTTTGTCTGTCTGTCTGTCTGTCTGTCTGTCTGCCTTCTAACTAGTGAGAAAGACCTTTTCTTTAACCAAACACTGAAGTGCTGCTTGAGTGTCTCATCCCTCTGGACTCGGTAATTAGGGAAGGGGAGGAAGTGTGTATGTGTGTGTGCGTCTCTACGCTAGATATTTGAGAAGATGGGATGTCTGCAAGCATCAATGGATCCTCAAGGTCATTCAAGAGTGTATTGTAAAGTCTGAGTGCATGTCCCGTACGTTCAGACACAATGGATATGGAAATAAGGGAATATTTTCTAAATTAACACTCTGAAAGTGATAGTTAAGTACACTTTTAATGATTTCCACTCAGGTAAAACAGGGTAAAACTGGAAGATTAAGCAGCATTAAGTGCATGAATGTGTGTTCCTGTGTGTAAATGCATGTGTGCATTTCAAGTGTCTGGGGAGACGGGGGTCTTTAACACTGGGTGTGAATGTGTGTATTTTAGCCCACTGGGAACAATAAAAACTAAACACACACACAGACAGTGGTCCTTGTGAAGAGGATGGCCTCTCAAGCTCTCCAGTTGAAGAGCCAGTATTTTAAACGCTGGTCTCTGATTGGTTGACTTGAATCCTGGGAATTTCCTCCCAGGACAGTGTATGACCATCCTGGTGTGTGTGTGTGTGTGTGGTGTGTGGTGGTGTCTCTCTCTCTCTCTCCTCTCTCTCTCTTCTCTGGTGTGCTTATGTGGGTGTTGTTGGTGTCGGTGTGTGTGTGTGTGTGTTCTAACTTGGCAGGGAAAAGACCCATGTAAACCTTTTAGTGAATGTGTCACTCCACGTTTGGTTTCTCTGATTAATATCATTTTACATTCACTCAGTGCAATACCACTGTTGTAGCTGTACAGGTGCATTTGTTACTAATACATTATTTACGACCAAAAACTAGAACACAAGACAAAGCAAGCCAGCTAATATTGCTTAGTAGTCCAGGCGTACAGGGCACAGAGTGGGAATGACAGAGGCATCATTAACCCTATTACAAATCAGTATAGCATTAAAAAAAAGATTGAAGCTGTTATTTTAAGATGTAAAAGTTACATTATAGGACTTTAACCTCAATTATTAAAAATAGAAATAGATGAGAAATACTGTAGATCATCCTTTATAATATTCACTAAAATGTTTCAGCCTCTTCAAACATAACGTAATACGAGCTGAAGACATGAAGCTTAAGCACTTAAGCTGCTCTCTGTGTGTGTGTGTTTGTGTGTGTGTTAACAATGCAGTGTGGCCATGCAGTAGTCATTATGGTCAAGTGCTGTGTGTGTGTCTGCATTTCTGCATGTATGTGTGCACTGAAAATGTGACCCTGTGGTATTTGTTACAGTGTCTGTACTTTCTTGCATTCCCTACGCCTGCACGCGTATGTGTGTATATGTGTATATGTGTGTATATGTGTGTTTTAGGCCAGTGGTTCAGGGCTTTGCAGTGATGTCACTGGGGCTGCAGGGTGGGGTTACATGGGGTTAGAGTTTGGCAGAGGTCCCGACTCCAGTAGCCCTCAAACTGTGTCTGACCAGGAAGTATGTGACTGTCCCTGCTTGTGTGTGTGTCAGCATGTCAGCCTGTGTGTGTGTTTTGAGTGTGTGTATGGTCAGTGGTAGCCAGCTGTATGCTAGCAATGTCCTATACTAATAGTAAAAGTGGTTTATTGGACACTTTATAGAGACTGAAACTGTTTTATAAATCAGCCAGACTGGTACAAGGAGACAGTCAGAGACCAAATGGCCACAAGACACACAGCATCAGGCCAGAGGTGGCTGATCACTGGTTAAAGGCTAAAGGAAAGGGAGGAATGCCTCCTCTGACCACTGATTTAATTTACATAACATCCTTTACTTCAGCATAATAATGACAATAAATAATTGCCTTCAGAAAGCATCATGGCAACATTTACTTTTGCAATTTAGATTTTTAAAAGCATTTTACACATAATTTATTTAGATTCTGTTGTCAAGAGCACAGAAGAAACTTTAATGTTGACTCACATACAGCCATACAACGAAACTGTACTGTAACAGCCATAAACCACTGTACAATACCCAGGGACTTGACCCTTGTCCCTGGGCGTATTGAAATTATGAAGGATACATGTTTTGATGGTGGGGGAAACTGGAGCACCTGGACAAAAACCCACAAAAACATAGGGAAGACATATAAACTCCACACAGACAGGCCCTGCTAGGACTTAAACCCAAAACTTTCTTACTGTGAGGTAACAACAGTAACCTGTTGGGTCTCTGTAAATAATTTTATTAGGAGTATGGTCTAGACCTGCTCTATTTTGAAAAGCGTCTTGAGATAACTTCTGTTATG